TCCCTTTTTTCAGGTGATCTGAAAGGCTAAAGGAAGCCTTTCCAAAAAGGTGGATTGTAGCCCTGGAAAGGGTGACTTGGAAGAAACGGTGAGCCTTTTTAGGACCCCAATGGATGATACTGGATTAATGTCAGGAAAGCAACATGCTTTCAAACAATCTTAGTGGACCAGATGTTCTCGGGTCAAGAGCTTTGGTTGCTATCTACCATGCTGCTGCTGTTTTCTAAGACGGTGATGATGTTTCCATCAGGGCTTTGACCTTGGAAGTTTTCCTGATCCTGTCAGCATTCTGCTTCATCCACATATTAAAAACTTTGGTCTGCTGCACTATCACTTTGGCTGCCTTGACTGAACTGTGTTGAACCAGTTTGAAACCCTGATGCACAGTCAAGATAACAAACGTTTCCATCACCTTAGAAAGTTCACTTACTCCTCTCTAAAGTCAACTCTCCACCGATCCCCTTTCTCTAACTTTAGGTTCATTATATCTTTTCTAGAATTCCCTATGTATAAATGCCAAAACCAAACCCACTGCCACCAATTCCAATTCCGATGTATTTCTTTGCGCCTGTCTTCCTTCGCTTAGCATTGTTTGTGATATTCATCAATGCCCTTGCCTGCACAAGCAGTTTGTTTTTATTACTGAAAAAGATTCCATTGTATGAACATACACCAATTTTTATTCATTCATAAAGTGTTGCCAGAAAGCTAGGTTGTTACCAGTCAGTGGCTAGGGCCATTATTGTGCAAGGCCTATCGTGGACTATGTTGTTCTTTCTCTTATTACATAAAGTGGGATTAATTGGTCATACAGTAAGGAGTCCTGGTGGTGTAGTGGTGACAAGTTGCACTGCTAGCTACAAAATCAGCAGTTTGAAACACCAGTCTCTCTGCAGGAGTCTCTCTGAGGCTTTCGATTCCTGTAAAGATTTATAGTCTCTCACAAATCCACAAGGGTAGTTCTACCCTGTTCTCTAGGCTTGCTGTGAGCTGGAATCAACTCAATGACAGTGAGTTTGTTTTGTGAGTACGTGAGTGTGATATGAGTTCAACTGTACAATAAAACTGCTGAACTGCTTTCCAGTGTTTTATATGCAACATTCCCACCAGTTATGAATAAACATTGCTTCTCATCAATACTTGGCATTGTCTGTCTTCCCATTTTATCCATTCCTCTGGGTGTATTGTAGTAT